ATTTTTTAAATCAGGGCTCAGATTTTTTTTTTTACTTGAGTTTTTACATTTTTAATACAAAGGGCATAAATCAACTTGATTGAGGGTCGTTGGACAAAAGTAAATGCTGCATTATATTCAATTGAGCTCTTTTGAGTTGGACATAGCAGCTACATGTACTCACTTTTTCTTCAGAAAATTTGCAACAGACTGACACATTTAGCTGTTTTTGGATGTTGATGTTCATTTGAAAGCCTATAATTGACAGATCACTTTAATAGCTGACACGTACTGTACTACTAATTTCAAATCAACCTATTGTGATTCATCTTTGGCACTGCATTTGATGAAATGATTTATTTCAACATCAAAGTGTCTACCCCCTGAAGGCTATGTACACCAGTTTGCTCTTAATGCAACTCATTCTGACTGCAGAATCGCTGGAGGAGCTTCCTGTCGTAACCAGTCTCACAGTTCCTCAATGTTCCCAATACAAAGCGAGTGCAAACCAGTGCCTACGTGATCCAAAATGTATAGAGTAAGCTAAAAATGAATTAAAATCAAAACCTAGTGAACTGCCAATAGAAAGCATTTTAGGGCATCATAGGCATATTCACATCACAGAGACTGTGCCAAAAAGCCGGAAGCATATTCATGTGGTCTTCTAAGATGCTTTCTTTTGGCCCAGAGTTTCATACCATTCTCATAATTTACCATACAGAGTTACTACAGTATCAGGCAATACTATTATCTGTTATGTGACCATGAGGAACTAGTAAAAGCTAAAATAAGCATTAACGGTCAACTCCTACTTTGTGTCCAGTCTCCACCCAAATTAAAGTAGACTACCACCATTGGCAAAGTTGGTTTCAAGGATGTGAGTCATGGCATATTTTATGCTCCCATCATGTTTAAGGCAGTGAGTTTCCTGTTACAGTGGTGTGTAAGTGGTGCATTTCTGCAATGTGTCAGTTCTGGCCTCTAATTAAAGTTAGACAATGTATTGTGTATTCGACTGGCTCTGCTGGAGGTTGGAGGATTCTCTGTCTAGACTGGATACAAGTCCTTTACTGTTTTTAATAACTACAACGGAGGACCTTACAGAGATAGCTATGCAGAGAGATGCACAGGCAAACGAACAGGCCAAAATTCAACGAACAGACTGTAAATATGTATCTTCTTTCAGTCTAAAATCCCTCACTAACCTTGACTGTGCAAAATTGATCATGTAAAGCCTGCAGTAAACCTGTAACGTCTGCTGTGGACTAGGGCAAAACAGAACTCAAAAACCAAGTTTACATTGGTAATATATTCTAATATACAGTATATCATTTATTCTAAAAAGGATCCCCGCCAAAAAAAGATGCTTTAAAGCTCAAATACGACGACTTTAGAGAAACAATATAGACAATAACTCTGAAGATTTGTGCTATTACTTTTGTAAGCAGTCAAGTCACCTTTATTTATATAGCGCTTTTAACAATACAGATTGTGACAAAGCAACTGAACAGCATTAATTAGGAAAATAGTGTCAATAATGCAAAATGACAATAGTAAACACTCATTTTTCAGTTAAAGACAGTTCATCATTGAATTCAGTGATGTCAACATCCAGCTCAGTTCAGTTTAAATAATATCTTTGCAATTATGTCAACGATAACGCTGGAAATGAAGTGTCCCCAACTAAGCAAGCCAGAGGCGACAGCGGCAAGGAACCAAAACTCCATTGGTGACAGAATGGAGAAAAAACCTTGGGAGAAACCAGGCTCAGTCGGGGGGCCAGTTCTCCTCTGACCAGACGAACCAGCAGTACAGAAAAATCAATATAAGACGTAATAAAACAGACGATGAATAATATGAATAGCAGTCAGATGTATGATTTTTGCCTGACAGTTCAATAAAACAACATGCATTCAGATGGGCCCCACATATTTCTAAGGACCAGATTATCATACAGACTTGGGCTCT